GATTATATTCAGAAAATAAAAAAAATAAAAATCTAAGTAATTAGATGTTTTGTAAGAAAAAATAAAAATACCAAAATTTCCCCAATAAAATCGACCGAAAATGTTTAAAAGATATAGTGGAAAATAGCTCACACACACCCTCATATATATAGGATTAAGCAGGGGTATTTTCGTTTGTTTTTGGAAAAAATGTCACACTAGAGAGTTTTTATATATATGTGTAGCGCACGAGTGTATGATACACTGTACATAGTACATGGATGTATATATATATATCCCTATATAAAATGTGTGAAATAGTTTTATATATATATATATATATATATATATATATATATATATATATATATATATATATATATATATATATATATATATATATAATTTTCATTGTTTAGTGGGCCATTTGACGCTACTCAAGCTGCTATAATCTTGGTATATAAACAGAATTTAAAATGCCTTTGTCAATGGATACAAATACAGAATATAAACAGTTTGGCACTTACATCATTAATCAATAATTCTCTCATAAGATAATTCTTTACAAAAAGTCAAGAATTAATTTGGTAGCATGATGAACTGATGAACACCCGCCGAATATGGGTAGCACTTAGGTCAACTTCCATTCCACGAGGTAAGTCAACTCAGCCGAATTCACACAGTCTTTTATCATTGTATATTTGATATCGCACCTAGGTGTGGAAATCGGACGGTATAAATCGGAAATGACTTTTTCAAAAAATTTCGAAAGTAAAAAACATGTTCCAATTTCCATTCCAAAAAAATCGGAACGCAAAAATTCATTACTGATTTTGGAATGACTCGGAATCGGCGGGATTTCAGAAGTTTCGAAAAATGCATTAGTTTATAATATGTAGTTCAAAATTTGGATATAATGGAAATTTGAACAATATTCTTCTACATTTTTTAAATTTCTGCAAGGAAATGCAAGATAATCCAAAAAAGAGTTCGACAAAACGCAATTGAAACATGGATCTTCTTGTAAGGAAAAATTCAAGATTAAGTTTTTGTTATCAATTAATATTTTCTAAGGTTTTTTTAATTTACTTGACCCTTCATAATTTATATTTTTCATATAAAATATAAGATACGTTATATTACAGAATTATAAAATTATATTATATATTTCAAAAATCCATAAAAATATTCGGAACTAAAATAAGACAGGAATTTGGAATTTCCGATAAATTTATATACCATTCAAATTCCGTTCCAATTAAATAAGTTCGGAAGAATCAGAAATCGGAATGAAAAATACGGTTAAATCCCTTGTGGTTATAAGCTTTTGCAGATGACAACCCTTGTGCTTAAATCCCTTGTGGTTATAAGCTTTTGCAGATGACAACCCTTGTGCTTGTAATATCAGCACATAACTCCCTTGTGGTTTATAGGAGTAGCTTCTGTTATTTTTTCGTCAAACTTAACCGCGTGTGTCAAACGTCAAAGTATTTTTTTTGCAGATGACCCTCTTGTGCTTTTAGTTTTACTTTAATTTTTGTAAATGACCCCCTTGAAATTTGACGCACGCGGTTAAGTTTGACGGAAAACTAACGGAAGCTATCCCATAAACCACAAGGGGTTATAGGCTGATATTACGAGCACGAGGGGTCATCTGCAAAAGCTTATAACCACATGGGGGCTAAATGTTATTTACCCTTTTTTTCTCGTTTGCAAATAGTTGGAACTTTGATTAGCTGACTAAGCATTAGTTAACTTCATCATTAACTCACATCCATCCTTTTTTTTTCCTGTGAATTTTTTTTCTGCAACCAGACGTCGGAGCTTCGACTTGCTGACTTGCATTAGCTGACATTGCATCGGACATGCAACCTTTTTAATTTATTTTTCTCTTTTAACTTTATTTTATTTTATTTCTACCAGTTGGTCGTCAGAGCTTTGCTTATCAGACTAAGCATTAGTTGAACTTCGCGTGAGCTGGTTTTACCATTAGTTCACTTTTTGACTTTTTATTATTTATTATTTATTTGTTCTTGCCGCATGTTGTTAAAACTCCGATTAGCTGACTAAGCATTAGCTCACTTTAGCATTAGCTGCCATACACATTTTCTTTGTTTTCTTCTTTGAACTCTTTTTCTCAACGGTGGTTAGTTGGAACTCCGATATTGCTGACTAAGCATTAGCTGAAACCCGACTCTTTTAGTGTTGAAGTCATCTGAGTGATCCGCCATCAGAAAAAAGTTAATGTTGAAGTTGGGTAACGTGAATTGATCTAATGCAAGTCACCTAATTAAAGCTTCGACGACTAGTGGGAAAATTACAGTTTATGTCCCTAAACTTTACCACTAAAACGATTTATGTCCTCAAACATTTCAATCCACGAAATATGTCCTCAAACTTGCCACTTTTGATCACTTTATGTTCTGCCGTTAACGTTGGCAGCTAACTTCGACGGAAATAGCACGCGTGGCTCACATGACGTCTATGTGGCCGTTAAATGTCGAGTTGTACACACCCAGTGCCTACTTGGTCGACGAAAAGTGATGTGGAGCGACACGTCATTCTCCTCCCCTATTTCTATTCTAAAATCCCTAATTCTCCATATCCCCAATGAACCCATAAATCCAATCCCTAAAACCCCATTTCGAATCCTTCAATTGAGGTGAAATTCGAAAATAGCAGAATCGTCTGTGAATCCATGGCCATTTTTTGTGGTGTTTTACTAGCAAAATAGCCCAATAAACAAATGCCGAATGTTTCCTCGATTTCACTTTCATCTTCGGGCTGAAATATCATGTCTTCTTCCACTTCGTTGGAGAAGTCGGGGAGCTGGAATCCGTTCTTGGGCACTCTATTCTTGGAGAAAAAAGAATTATATGCAGCTTTGACAGGTGCTGCATGTTTTTTTTTTTTTTTCCGGAATTGGTTCAGACATTTTGTCGAACACCTTTTGGGCAAGTTCTGAAACTGCTGAGTTGGGTAGAATTTGTGCCATCTTTACCATCCTTGTTCTCGCTTCATCGAGACCACAAGGGGCACAAGCATCAGCAGGCGAAGAATCACACGACCCCAACGTTCTAGAGACGGAGTTAGGAGAATAATTACCTTCTTCCTCTCGATTGCAGGCATGTGTTTGCACGTGAATCTGCTGTTCTTTGAGAAGGGAAAAACTCTTCAAATGTGAGAATGTTTGGATTTTTTATGGGTTTATGACTTCGATTTTAGTATGGATTCGAGCAAGAATGCAGATTGGATTGAAAATTTGGGAATGGGAATGAAACGTGATTTGGGATTTGGGATTCGGGAGAGTGAGTTAGAGGAAATTAGTAAATTCTTGTGCCACGTCAATATTTAATATTCAATATATTATTCCACGTCACATTTAACGGCCACATAGACGTCACGTGAGCCACGCGTGCTATTTCCGTCGAAGTTAGCAGCCGACGTTAACGGCAGAACATAAAGTGATCAAAAGTGGCAAGTTTGAGGACATATTTCGTGGATTGAAATGTTTGAGGACATAAATCGTTTTAGTGGTAGAGTTTAGGGACATAAACTGTAATTTTCCCACGACTAGTCGCTAGAAAAAAAATGAAAAGAAAAAAAACCTAAAAGAAAAAAAATAGGATGTCAACTAATGTTGCAGTTAAATAATTCTAAGTCAGATAATCAATGCTCAGACGATCCACCACCAGAAAAAAAAATTTACGGTTAAATTAGTAATAGATGTAAGAAGGGTGCCGGATGTAGCATATATATAACGGTTAAAATAGATGACATGTGCAAAACATGTGCCTTTCTCCCTCCAACATATCCCCAAAATTAGAGATTAAACCAAACCATTACCATCCCTACAATTGATGTCAATTGATCTCACTTACAAAACCAAAGAACATGACCAAAGTACTCCACCGTTATTTAATAGACAAAAAGAAGACAAATGACAAATGATTATTTGAAAAAAATAAACAAAAAAATATTTCCAGGCAAAGGAATAATTAGAACCCAACTTATTAAATCATGCCACATTTGCATACACATAGTGTTCCAAGGTATATATGGTAAGATCCTCATGAAGAAATTAAAGAACGATGAAGATGTGGAAGAAAACGGCAAGTATCACCATCACAACTCCGCTAGTCATCGAACTAACACCGTTTGGTTTTGTTGTTGTTGTTGGTGTTGTTGGTGGTGTTGTTGTTGGTGGTGGTGGTGGTTGTTGTGGTTGACGCGGACGAGTGGAGTTTCCATTGGGTGGGGATGGAGTTATCAACGAGACGGAATCAGAGCCTGAGATTAATATTTTAATTTTAATAATAATGCATTTTAAATGGATGCATGGTCACTTTAGATAATGAACGGAAAAAGTGTAAAGAGAGACGAAACCAGCTACTCACAGTCAGATTCTTTCCAGCCCAAAACCATATCCTCCCGATCAAAGACAAGCCGGTACCCGGTCATAAAGTTTTCTGCGAAGAAGAGATCAATGTATATATTAATGTGGTTTACTAACCCAAATTTTTTTAATTAGTAACATTTTATTGTAGTCAATGCAATTTAAAAAACAATTTAAGGAAACAACTACTGAAAATAAAAGCAAACAATTGATACATGGGGTCCAATACTCACGTCCAATGACGTTAATACCCTCGCTTTTGATAATAGCCAAACAATATACATATCCATCTACCTGCATATGAATAGAAAATCTTAGCACTTCTATTTTGGGTAAATTACAATCTCCCCTGAGATAAGGTCTATTTACAAAAAGACTCATAATTTTTCCATAATTACATCCAACCCCTTGCTATTTGTAAATTTCTTACATTAACACCCTTTTGTAAGGGGTGGGTATAAGAAATTTATAAACTTCAGGGGTTGGATGTAAATTATCAAAAAGAATGAGTTTTTTCGTAATCAAACTTTACCACAGCGAGGTGGTTGTAATTCATCCTTTTTTTTTTTGTTAAAATTGAATTTTCTCAACTGAAAAATACTCACCTCCCGAAACTGAATCGTCGGTGCAGTGACATTAAATTGGTTTCCACCTTTCATGGTGAAGGTCAAGTTTGGGGTTGTATACATAGATTGATTTGCACTGCATGGAAACATATATAAATCATGAGGCAAAAATGAAATATGATTAAAAAAAATGGGAACAATATAATTTTCATCCCTCAATTTTGCACCAATTTCACATTTGGTCCCTCTATGTTCACAAAAAATACATTTGGTCCCTCATGTTTCAAAAATTCAACATTTTTAGCCATCTCCGTCAATTTCCCATTAAAACTAACGGAATCAAGTGTGTGCCCGTCACTGCCTTAAGTAACGGATTAATAGTAAATTAACGCAAATGAACCAAAGTGTTAAATTATTGAAATGTGAGGGACCAAATATGTTTTTTGTGAAAATGAGGAAGTAAAGTGAAATTGACGCAAACTTGAGGGGTGAAAACTGTAATTTCCCCGTAAAAAAATATCTCAGCTCTTAGAAATTAAAAGTACCGGAGTACATAGCAATGGTCAAAAGCAGCGTCGGCTGGATAGTGATAACGTTTCTCGGTTATGCGAGAATTGAACTGCATAAGAGGAAAGTCGAATCAGATTTCTTGCTAAAAAATAAACTTTATCTATGTTGAATGACCACCTCAACCAAAAGCTTAAGGTATTACTGAAATGTATCATTGAATATTACTATCTTCGATAATATATGTAACTTACATTGTTCACGAAAAACGAGTAAGCTGGATCGGTCAAGTGTGTAACTGCAGTGCCGGTGTTGAAATTTGCGGTGAACTCAAGATTTGTCACATTATTACCCACACCAATTTGTATCACAGTTATATTATAAGTTGGGCTGCCACAAAAAGCAAGGAAAGATTAATTAATAAAGATGGAAAAATAAAACAAAAGAATAAAAGCAAAAGAAAGACTACTCTTGCAATTACTTTGATTTTTGAACATTGAAGGGAGTTGTTTTTTGTTCGGGGCTCCCTTTATCTCCAAATTCGATTCTACCAAAATATTCGTCGGAGAAACACATGGAGAAAGAATTTGCAGTAACACTTTTGCTAGCTAGAATGCTAGGAACGGATATACCGCCCATACCAAGTCCGAATACACCATTAATTCCACCACCGCTTTCCAAGAAATAACCCGTTTGATTCTTTCCACATCTGAAACAAAATATATATGCTTTAAATTTAATTGTGGAACAAATTATTAATATTAGTAAAAGTATATAATTTTTTCGAGTTTGTTAGACTGCCAAAAAAATCTCGTGTTATTAATATTAGTAAAAAACTTTCAACCATACATCTTTGAAGTACACAACCCTCTAAAGGATGAGTCTTTAGGGGTGATTTCCTAAAAATCATCATAAGTGAAGTTTTTGGTAATCTGTATATATAAAAGAAAGAAACGGACAACAACCCTAATAATCATTAGTTTTTAATTATTTGTTTTTACATTTTTTTCTTTCTTATCTCATAGAACAGTTTTGCACTTTCTTCGTTATTCCTTTCTTTGTTAATGACATCTTTATAATTTTTTTTTTTTAAATCTCTACTACTTTTCTGATTTTTGCTTTTTAAGAAACATTTTTTTTACTTAATGTATTTATTATAGAGCGGCAATATGCAATTATAAAATGGATAAATCATATATTTATAGCATTTCGAAAATGTATGATTTATTTATATATGTAAATGTACCATATGTATCCGAGGTGTGCTAAATGCAATAAACCAATAACTCCAGGAAAAAAAAGTACCCACCCGAATGTAACCGAGACATCAACAGGGTCTTGTGGATTGGTATCTGAACCCAAATGCAAGACATCATCGACTAATATTCCTGTACTCGAGGAAGCCCCGTATAATTGTTGGTATGCACAAGTATTAGACCTGGCCAAGCACGTTCTTGTGGGTCCACAAAGCGTGCTATTGCACGGAAGTGGCGAGCTAGTTGTCGAATTACTTGGACTGTATATACTTAGTTCGAATCTCTGTTGCATTGAAATTAAATAACTAACAATTGGAGATAAAAAAAAGGGTTAATATGTTAAGAGTCCCTTAAATGAAACCTAATTTGAACTAAATGACAATATTAAAATTCAATCTTGTAATTAAATCCCTATTTTGAAATAATATATGACCCACATCCCTAATTGTTATTTTATCCCTAGTTTGCCCTTATACTCTAAATATAATATCTCACGTTTATTCAACTAATCATATTTTTTTTTGTTTTCTCTCTCGCATCTCGCCGCTCCATCTCCCTCTCGCCTCTTCCTCTCATATTCTTTTTTCTTTTCTATCTCGCCTCTTCTTCTCCCTCTCCCTCTCGCCTCTTTATCTTCCAGCAAGGCGTTGTGGTGGTCGAGGCGACGGCGAGGGGTTGTGGTGGTCGAGGCGGTGTTGGGGGTTTGTGGTGGTCGAGGCGGTGTTGGAGGGCTGCGGTGGTTGGCGGTGTTGGGAGCTGCGGTGGTCGGCGGTGTTGGGGGGCTGCGGTGGTCGGCGGTGTTGGGGGCTGTGGTGGTCGGCGGTGTTGGGGGCTGTGGTGGTCGGCGGTGTTGGGGGGCTGTGGTGGTCGGTGGTGTTGGGGGCTGTGGTGGTCGGCGGTGTTGGGGGCTGCGGTGGTCGGCGGTGTTGGGGGGCTGTGGTGGTCTGCGGTGTTGGGGGCTGCGGTGGTCGGCGGTGTTGGGGGCTGTGGTGGTCGGTGGTGTTGGGGGCTGCGGTGGTCGGCGGTGTTGGGGGTTGTGGTGGTCGGCGGTGTTGGCTCCTAGGATTTGACGGCTGTTGTGTTTACGACTAGGGTTGGCGAGATTGGGTGTTGTTGGCTGCTAGGGTTTGGTAGTACACCGTGGTAGACTATAGTACACTGTAGTATACCATAGTCTACATGGTATACTACAGTATTGACAACAAATAAATTAAAAAAAAATTAAAATATATGTAGCTTGAATTAACAAAAACAAAAAATAATTTTTTTTTCGTAATTTTCAATATCATGTAGGATTTGTTTTTTAATAATAGTGTAAAAATTATAGTACACCATAGTATACCATAGTGCACCATAGTAATTTTTAAAATTTGCTGAATTATTTAACAATTTTTTTTCCTATAATTTCCAATAAAATATAAAAAAAATAAGGAAAAAAAACTGTTTATAATAATGTAGAAAATGTTAGAGTGAAAATTGAAAAAATAAAGATGAGTGAAGGGGCATTTTCGGAATAAATTTTATAAAGGATGTGAAGCAAATGTTTAGTTGAGCTTGTCATTTAGTTCTAATTAGTTTTATCACTAGGGACCTATATCTTAAGACCCCTAAAAAAAATTGGGGCAACAAAAAATAATAGGGCTTATTTTCATTTTGTTTTGGAGGAGTAACTTATGAATCCAAATAATGTTTGTATATATTTTGGAAGTAGACGGAAAACACTGTAGCAGCCAAATATTTAGAATAATTATGTTCAGAGGTTTTGAAATTTTGTTTATTTTTTGAAAATTAATATTGTAACATTGATTTATATGTTTAGATTCTTCTTTTTCCCCTTTTTGACAGAAGAATATTACACAAAATTTGACACTGGAAGGGTGGACGTGTAAGAAAATTCATAGTTGAGGGATGATTGTAATTACCCAAACAAGAGGGAGTTTTTCGTAATTTGACATTTCCCCAGGGGTGGCCGTAACTTACCATTCAAGCTAAAGTATGTTTTTTTCTTCAGATTTTGATCATTTTATTCGGGTTTCGGGTTTTCAAATAACTTTTATTTGATTTTCATGAATAATAGCACATACATTTTTGTTCATTTAACTAATTTTATTCCGTATTTGTTTTTCTAATCAATTAAATGTAAAATTTGATTTTAATTATTTTAAAATCGTAGAAATCACATGCAAGGGCATATGTTACTGCGGTTTATAGATGACTTGAAACACTAAATAACGAGAAATGAAGGTACTTACCGTTTCGTCGGTCATGTTGAAGTAACGCGGACAAGTTTTACAATCACATGGCACCCAGAATAGGTCACTGTTGGTGTCAAGTGCGACGAGAAACGACGAAGCAGGAGTACCCACGTTAACAATTGAATAATGCAAGCTGTAAATAAGCACGGTCGCAACGTTAAAGTAAAAACAATGTACGCCAGATTCTATTACTATTCAAAATGGTCATTTTATTGATCTAGGTTATGCGTTTTTTTCTCTTTCGCAAATAAGTTCATACATTCAACATGTATTACAAAACAAAAGCAATCATAATATTTATGACAAATCTTACCAACACTCATTTTAAACCCAATTCATTATTCTTAACCCTAATTTTGACCCCTAAACTCGATTTTGACTTTTTTCCATTTTTTTCAATTGAACGTCATTGAGCCGTTGACATTTTTTATATTTTACATTTGTCTGTATTCTTTTCTTCTTTTTCTTTATTGACCGGTCATCACGATAATATAATGTCTAACACACTATAGTAATATTATTTTCTGTTGAATATTTTTTTTGGGTTGTGTCGATCGGTCAGTATAATAATATTAATTTGTTACAAAATATTACACAAAAATATTATTGTGTAACCCTATGTTACACAATAATATTACTTGGTAAGAATAATTATCTGAAATTTCATATACAACTAAACCTTTATAAATTAATACAGTCGCGACTAGCGAAATTCTATTAATTTAGCGAAATATTAAATTATCGAACTATTAATTTAGTAGGTTTTTACCGAGCCGGGACCAGAAAAAACTATTATTTAATCGAAGTTGTTAATTTATTGAGTATTAATTTTTTGAGATTCTACTGTATGAATAATATTTAAATCCCTAATCAAATAATTATACAAAAGAATTTGTAATATAATTTAGACACTCAAATGTATAGAACCCCTAATTGTTGATTGTTTCTTTTAGAGACTATAAACTTCTATGGAGTCTCTACATGGATTTCCAAATCACAATTTAGAGACACAATTTGCTTACATCATTGACCTTTCCCTAAGATTTACATGTACATATATACTTTTCAAATTAAATATCAAAGCAATTAATTTTTAATGAAACAAGAATAAAATTGATTTTGCAAATATCAAAACCTGATTATCAGTCAAAACGAAGCTAATGATAATCAATTTTTTTTTTTTTTAAATCTTTTAAAAACAAGAAATAGGACAAAACTTACTATCCAAGAGCCCACATGTTGTAAGTCTGGTTGCCACCAATACCAACGAAAGTTAGGATGGGGGTGGAGGCGGCAGCGAGGCGGCGGCCCTTGAATAGCCGATCACGGTGGACCATGGCGGTGTAGTAGTCAACCGTACCCTTCTCCGGCAACCCATCCACATTCAAGAATTGCTTGACGGTGTCGGAATATCTGTGGTGTAAATCCAATCCAAATGTCCCGAATGCTTCGCTGATGTTCGCGTTAATCCAACACGTAAACGCAACTAGCATCAAACAACTCCCAAATACTGAATTCTTAAAACACATCATTATTTACTTTATTTGGACCCAAAAAATAAATTTAAAAAATCAAGAGAATTTTTTAAGTGAATAGATCCAATCAGTAAACACACATATGGGTCAATGGAGTGAGAATGCAAATTGTTGAAAGATAATGCAAGACTAAGGCTGAAAGTCGGAAGGATCGGATCGGAATTAGCTTTTTCGGAATATTTCCTAAAAATTTCGGAAGTACAAAATCAATTCCAGTTCCAATTCCAAAATTTTCGGAATCTAAAAATTCATTCCAATTCCAAAAGGCCCGGAAATTTCAGAATTTCGGAAATTTTTCGGAAATGACACAAGTATTAAAATTTCGAAACTACACTGAAAATTTCATAATTTACTAAAAATAAAAACATCCACGTCGATAAAAATAACTACAAACATCCACGTCGATAAAAATAACTACTAAATTTCAATTCAAAAAATAAATAAAAATAAACGACATCATAATATCCAATAAAACTTCTAGCAAAAATTAAATAAACTGTTTGGCTTTGCACAAGAAATAATAAACGTAAAACTAGGGTTTAACATAAAATAAACTAGGGCTTTTTTAACTGACATGGCCATAAAGAATAAATACAACTAAATAATGTAAAATAAGTATAATATATATATATATATATATATATATATATATATATATATATATATATTACTCAAAGATGTATTTTTTGGAAAAAAATCGGTTTTTTTTCGGAAAAAAATCGGAATTTTTTCGGAATTAATTTCGGAAATAATCGGATCGGAAATCGGAAATTCCAAATTTTTTTTATATAATTCAAATTCCAATCCAAAAAAATCGGAAAAAATCGGAAATCGGAATTTCGGAAATCGGAATGAAAAAAGTTGTTCCAAAATCGGAACTTTTCGGATCGGAACCGGCGGAAATCGGAATTTCCGTTCCAACTTGCACCCCTATGCAAGACATATATTATAATAGAGAGAAAATATTGTTGAACATAATGCAAGACACGTAAAACATATTATGAAATTGCAAGGCAAAAAAAGTCGTGCGCATTTCATGTCTCCATTGTTTAATATATGTGTCTCCATATCTCCATGTTAGATAAGCTGAATAATTACACTTTTGGTCCCTATATTTGTTACTTAAAACGATTTTATTCTTCAAACTTTTAAGTTTTGTGAAATTAGTCCTCGATCTTACCATATTTTGACACTTTTAGTTCGGGCGTCAATTTTTTTCAGTTGACTTGGACGGAAATGTCACGCGTGCCTCACATACGTCCAAGTGGCAATAAAAAAATCCAGCCGGAACACACCCAGTCCATATGGAAGCTTCCCCCAATTTCTATCCTCTAAACACCTAATTTCATTTCAACAAAGACCCACCCCAAAATTCCCCTTTCTAATCTTCAAATTGAGGCGATTTAATACATCACTGTAATCGTTCAACCCTAATTTCACCAATTTTGAAATGTTTGTGGAGTTGGAACATTACGATCGTGCATTAATAACCTTTGATTTTGGAAAATTTCTCCAAGTTGCAATCTCTAAACTTTGAATTTGGTAATTTCGCAAGTTGCATTTTAGATTTCATCTCAAGTTATTTGTTGTAGCATAAAAGATGAGTAGAAGCTCTGATGGCTGTGGTTTTGGTTTCAGCTCCGGGTTTACATTGGTGCCCTGGTGGTGGTGGGTTATTTTTTCCCTTTATTTTGGCACTGATTTTGCAAGATTGAAGTGTGTTTTGTGTAGGAGTGAAGATAAATGGACGCCATTTATTTTTCTTTTTCTGGTTTTGCATAGGCCAATTTTCTTGTTCTTTTTTAGAAGATGTGGTGGAGAGGTGGTGGAAGGCAGCGAAAGGTGGTGAAGGAAAATCCAGGTTTAGGCTTGGGGAGAAATTGAAAAAGGGAATCAAGTTTCAAACCACTAAGGGTGCATTTGGATGGAGGGATTTGGGGGAGGGATTTCAAATCCATAATAACAAATCCCTCGGACTTGTTTGGATTGAGGGATTTGGAGATGGATTTCAAATCCCCACCCCTCCTTTTTAGTTGTTTTTGGAGCGATAGTGGTGGATTTCAAATGACTCCAAAATTGGAGTCATTTCAAATTCATTCCCCAAATCAAATCCCTCCCCAAATCCCTCCATCCAAATGGACCCTAACATAAATTAGGCATTAAATATTTGGATGAGAGAAGAGGTAAGTAATGAGGTGGAAGGAGATTAGTTTCAGCTCATTTGTATGGTCGCAAGTGGATATCACGTGAGGCGAGCATGACAATTTCATCTAACTTAAGGAAAATTACAATTTATGTTCCTAAACTTTACCAATAAAACGATTTATATTCTCAAAAAATTTCATCCACGAAATATGTCCTCAAATTTGTCATTTTCTAACAATTTATCTCCTGCCGTCCACTCCGTTAATCAACTTGGACATAAATATCATGAGTGGCGCACATGATGTCGATATGACTGTTAAATTCCGATATGACTGACAACTCGAGATGATGTGGCCGAAAAATATGACATAGAGTGACATGTGGTGCTCCCTCTATTTCAATTTTAAAATTTCAAATTTGTCATTAAAATCTCCAATTTTGCATTCCCCCTATTTCATTGAACAGAATGCAGAAATCATGACCCCATATAGGTATAAATTATAATTGAAAGAATTCGATGACATCGAATTCGTGTAAATTAGTATAGAAAATACTAAATCAGAAATTTACACATACGGTTTGATAAAAGCTTGTGTGAATAAATGTTTTGCAGCGGAAATTAAATAGCACACATTAAAAATCATTATTCATATATATATATATAACTTGTGGATGTGCCTTTGCAGGCCAAAACTTTATTGAAACAATATTCAAAGAATACAGGAAGAGAAGTAAAGATCTTCCCTTTTATAAAGAAATCACGAGATATTTTCTTCGTATAAGAATTCCTAGAATCGAAGACAGTTGATCCTTAACAAAAATATATGAGTATAGACTCGCATTCAATGACATTGAATACAACCGCACTCAATTCTGTAGTGAGCAAAATACAACGAAAACAATGTGTTGTCGTAGAAGATGTTTCAACACCCAAAGCTCTTTGCTCTCAACTCTCTTCAGAAATTGGTAAAAATGATCAGTTGAGGACCTCTCCTACTTATGAAATTTGAGAGCTCCTTGTTCTGCACGAAAACAACACACTAGAAACGAAAATGGATTAGTGGATTAATAATTAAATATGTGCTAAAAATACTTAACCACTAAGCTGAAAATAGTCGGCCATTAACTCATAATATTAACACGGTTATTAAATAAATAAAATTGATTTAAAGAAAGTTAAAATAAATAAATTATATTTGACTTCGATTAGTCAAATATTCAACAATATTTTATACCTATACGTCTTACAAAACTTATTGAAGTTGGAACCTTGCATGTATATAGAGAAATAATGCAATTCATCTCAAGTAAGAGAGTTGAAATAAACAAATTAAACATATCAGTGAAATAAGGCAAAGTACAAATCGTTAAGAACCTTATGAAGAAAGAGCGATGAAGTTGTGGAACAAAACGGCAAGCATCACCGCCATAAGTCCGCTAGTCACGGAACTCAATCGGGCAACACCACTTGGCGGCGGCGCTAGTGGTGGTGGTGACTGCTCTGCTGCACGTGAACGAGTAGAGTTTCGCTTGGGTGGCGGTTGAGCGCTGGACGAGATGGAATCATAGCCTGAGATGAATAGTATTTTAATGCGCATTTCAAACTGATCAGTGCATGGTGATATATATATATATATATATATATATATATATATATATATATATATATATATATATATATATATATATATATAACTACATACTGCAATAGCATGTTGTTATATCTACATAGTTAGAAGTCATTTTTCTTGTAGTCTTCAAATAACCAGTTTTTTTACAATTTTTTGAAGTTATTTGTAAGTATACTATGCTACCAAATAATCACTAGTAGAAAAATGGGTTTTTACTATCACACTAATTGGTAGTGTAAGGTAACAAATTTGTAGTACAAAAAAAATCTACAATTTTACTACAAATTTTCTCCACAGCGAATACTTGCGTGACAAAAGTTTTGCTACAAAAAATAAAGGGCCGTAACAAATATATTTTTGCTGCGGTAAATCCCAAATTTGCGCAGTAGTAAGTTACCTTTTGTGACAATTTAATGTAATGTCGCAAAGAAATTCGTAATATAAAGTTATTTTTCTACTAGTGAACGATGAAAAGCAAAAAGAGAGAGATGAAAACAACTCACAGTCAGATTCTTTCCAGCCCAAAAGCATCTCTTCCCGATCAAAGACTATCCGGTACCCCGTCATAAAATTTTCTGTCAAGAAGCGATTAATGTATCAATGTGAAATTTCTTGAAAAAAAAAAATTCAAAATTAATTAATATATCAGATAGATCGAAAATCACCCAATACTCACGTCCAATGACGTTAATACCCTCGCTTTTGATAAGAGCCAAACAGAAAACAGATCCATCGTCCTGAATATAAATAGAAATTGTTAGCACTTCTTATTTTTCGATGGAATGTATTTTCTCATACATTTATCCACTCAAAAAATTACTCACCTCCTCAAACTGAATCGTGGGTACGGTGACATTAAATTGGCTTCCACCTTTCATGGTGAAGGTCAAGTTTGGAGTTGTATAGCTATCTTGATTTGCACTGAGTGCATAGCAATAGTGTAGAACAAAGTCGAATGAATAGTGATAAGGTTTCTCGGTTATACGAGAATTGAACTGCAAAAGAAGAAAGTAGAATCATAGTTCAAACAGGTTAAAAGATAAGATATATGGGAACTAAATTAATCCGATAAATATACTCTTTGTCCCTTAAGTTTATCACGATTTTACATTTGGTCATCCTTGTTTAAAAAAAAAGAAAAACAAATTTAATTAGTCCATCACATTTCAAACATTTAGCACTTTTGGTCATTTCCGACAATTTTCCGTCAGCACCTAACGGAATCAAGCATGTTCCCATCACTATCTTAAATTGAAACTAAATGGACAGACTAACGGTAAATGGACAAAAATGATAAAAAAAATGTTAAATTGTTGAAACATGATGAACTGGGTTTGTTTTTGTTAACAAACCTGAGGTACGGAAAGTGTATTTTTCCGAGAAAATATCGTTATATATATATATATATATATATGTATATATAACTTACATTGTTTGTAATAAATGAGTAAGCTGGATCGGTCAAGCGTGTAATTGCGGTGCCAGAGTTGAAATTTGCGGTGAACCGAAGATCGGTGACATTATTACCCACGGCGATTTTTGTCACAGTGATATTATAAGTTGGGCTGCCAAGAAGCTGGAAAGATAAGTAAAGATGCAAATAATATAAAACGGAAGGAATAGCAAAAGAGTGATACATCACTTGTTGCTTACTTTGATTTTTGAAGATTAAAGGGAGTTGTTTTTTGTAGTGGACTTCCTTTATCTCCAAATCCGATTCTACCAGAAGATCCTTCAGCAGCGAAACACATGGAGAAAGAATTTGCTGTAACACCTTTGTTAGCTAAAATGCTGGGAACAGATATACTGTCCATACCAAGTCCAAATATGCCATTAATACCGCCACCACTTTCCAAGAAATAACCCGTTTGGTTCTTTCCACATCTGAAACATCGAGGAGGTGCTGTATACTTCTTGGTAAGCACAATTATTAGACCTGGCTAAGCATCCTCTCGTGGGTCCACACAATGTGCTATTGCACGGAAGCGGCGAGCTAGTTGTCGAATTACTTGGACTGTATATACTTAGTTCGAGTCTCTATTGCATTGGAATTAAATAACAACAATTAGCTAGGGCAACAAAAAATATTAGTGTTTAATTATTTCTATTTCTTTTTGGGAAATGATGTTTATATATGAAGTAGATATAAAACACAGTCAAGTATTTGAATAATTATGTCTAAAGGTTTTGAAAAAAAGGATTTTTTGAAGAAAAAATGAAAAATAATATTATGATGTTTGTTTATTTTCTAATATTTTTTTTTAGTGTAGCTGTTAAACATTGTTCCAAATTAAGAGGGAAACTTTTTTTTCATTGATTCATTTGAGCTTCAGGATATTAACCGTAGCAAAAAATACCAAATTCGTAAAAAATGACTTTTGTTACACATTTGTTAGGAATTTGCTCCGTAGCATATACGGCCGTGACAAAAACTTTGCTATTGTAAATGTCCGTAGCAAATACTTTTTTGCTACTGTAAATCCTAGCATTTACTACGACTCCAAGACTGTCCCGTAGTAAAATGTACCTTTTGTTACGATTTTTTCCCGCAGCAAAAAAAAAAATCATCGTAAAAAATATTTTTTCTACTAGTGACGGTAAATAAGTTGCTCATTGAGAACTAAAATCGTGATCTCAATTGTGCGTGGACCAAAATTGAACAAGTGGTATATAATAGGGACCAAATTATAATTATAAAAACAAACTTAACAGAAACACAAATCAGTTCCGTCGGTAATCGTGATCTCATTATGGTTTTGTCACTTGACTAAACATTGAATAACGATAAATGAAGGGACTTACGTTTCCGTCGGTAATATTGAAGTTACGTGCACAAGTGATACAATCACATGGTAACCAGAATAGATCACTGCCGGTGTCGAGTGCCACAAGAAAGGACAGAGCAGGGGCAGGGCCGGCCCTGACCCAGGGCGAGCAGGGCCTAGGCCCAGGGCCCAGTTCATGGTCGGGCCCAAAATTTCAATTATCTTTTATAATTTTATGTTTATCTTCTTCTTTTTTTGGTTCTGAATTCATGGTCTTTTTTACTCTTTCACGCCTTTTCAGTTTTAATTTTTACTTTTTACGATTTTTCGTCATCCATTTACTGCTTGCACTATTTTCAATATTCACCTTTTCTTTCTCATCTCAACTACTACCATTATGTACTTTATTATCACCGTTAGGAATTTTGAAGTGACCTAATTACTATATTATTTATTTCTTTTAGTAAATAAAAATAATTTTTTTAATTCCGTAACATATTTTTTCTATTGATTCTGGCAATGGAAGGCCATACAAATATATGTGATTTTATTCTATTAATAAAACAGCTTATATTATTTTAGATTTTCTTTTCCTTGTGTTCTGGTCTAATTTTTTGTCGAGTTTTAAAAAAACTACCAATATTTTGTCATTTTATTTTATTAGTCTTCATCTATTTTTGATTTAATTTAATTTAGTCTATCATATATTCATAATCGGATTTCTTATTTGTTTATATTTTAATGATATGTATATATTTCAAAAGTCTTTTTCGAAGGGCCCGCTTTTTTTGTTCGCCCTAGGCCTCAAAATACCCCGGACCGGCCCTGAGCAGGGGTACCCACTTTAATCAGTGCATAATGCAAGCTGTAAATAACCACAACTTTGTGTCATATTTTATTTATTTATTTATTTATTTTTCAAAAATTAGAAAAAAAAAAAAAAAAGAAGGAAAGAGATATAATGAATATAATTAAGGGCAAATTGCACATCACCCCTGTAAAAATTTCTAATTTTCTACACCTCAAAATTTTTAAAAGTGAATGTCCCCCTTCAAAATGTTATTCTTCTTGCGCATTGCCCCGATAGCAAAACTCCGATGGGTTATTCATCGGAATTGTGTATTTTTCTTGCACGTTGCCCTTTAAAAGTTATTTTTGTTGCACGTTGCCCCTTAAAAACACTACTTTTTTGCATGTTGTCCCTTTAAAATGTTATTCTTGTTGCACAATGCCCTCAAAAAATTAGCTTATATGGCAAAGTGCAGCCAAAACAATAATTTGAAGGGGGAGTATCTTTTTTTTGAATTTTTAGGGGGAAAAGTGCAAAAATGAAAATTTTATAGGGGGCGAAGTGCATTTTGTCCTATAACTAATAACACCAAATTTAATATGTATCTCCTAATTTAGGTGGTTTTAGCTTCCACTTGGTTATTTCTATGCTACACCCAATAAAGTTACATGATTTTTAAATACTGATCTACACACACCAATGTGGGTGTATGTGTTTGTGTATTTATGAATGATAAAGATCAACACGGTGAATTTTATCCGATGTAACATAGTATAAACGAGTCCCCATGGTGGTTAACCCTCATATATATTACCATTTCGCCAACTCTTATATTTTCACCAAATTATTTGGCGAAGAAATTTGTGAATCCTATTTTTACTATTAAATATAGATGAGGAAATAAGATTTGACGTAATTAACACAATTTTGTAGATTACTATGTAAAATAATTATTTTAAATAATTTTACGTGATAACCAACTTATGAAAATACAATAGTGTTAATTAATGAATTAGTTTTCAAAAGACAAATATAATAATTAAAACAATAATTATTATTGATAAGCAAATGATTTTAAATAAACCTAAATATGCTTATTCTTATTTAATTTTTTTTTGGTATCAATGTTCATTAGTTCAGTTTTATAATTTATTAATACACTAATTATTATTAATAAAATAAAATAAGCAACTATAGACTAATTACAAAACCACAATATAATTTAATTGATGATATGCAGGACCAATAGAACCTCTAAATAAAATACATAATGATGAATGCATGAGACAATTTTTAATGATTTTAGATGATTAATTTATTTTGTCAACTTGCCATGTTATTTATTTGTGCAGCAATATGAAACTATTGTATATGTATGATTTTATTATGTATTTAATTATTTGAGTTATTTAATATTTCATGTTTTTTCTTTTCTTCTAAACTATGTAGTTAACAAACTATTATTATAAATCGGATCTAAAGTCAATATTTATTTATTACTTGATATAAAATTTAATGAAATTCATGGAAGATTAAAAACACCATTTTCCAACAAAAAAAAGTGAAATGACGTGCTATGGCTGAGATAAACTCATTTTTTTCATCATAAAAAAATGGATTTTGTGAAAACAAATGGTGAAACGTGTGAAAGACGCGGTCAAAATGGAATACAAAAAGAAAATGCTAAAATAATTTGAAAATATAATTAATACTAGAATTGTAGCAAAAATGTACTAGATATTATTACAATTTTAAACAAAAATGTAATACTATTTTTTATTATGTAGCTGTGAAAATATGTTTGTAATTTCCATATAGATTTATTTATTTAATTAGAAATTATGATTTATTTTTCTCTACTTATTGTGACAGTCCGGTCGATAAAGCAAGTAACGTCGACGGTCGAACGGCACCAATCTTATCTTATATATAAAATGAATAAACACTTGGCAACCCTAGGTAATCCTAATTTCATTTTTGTAATTATTTCGACTTTATTTTATTTTTTGGACAAATTTTCTAAAAAAGAAATTATTTCTTATCTCAATGGAATGGTTTGCGGCTTTATTTGTTATTTCATTTTTTCTTTTCCTTTATTAACTTTCTAATAATTTTTTTTTTTTTTTTACTTTCTTATCTCAATGGAAATGGGATTCCATTTTCTTTAGGGTGCAAATTTAGACCGGATGGCCTGCTTTAATAGAAAAATCGGATGCCATAGGATGATTGACACGTGGATAGTTTAAATAAAAATATAATAAAAATATAATTAAGATTCTAATAATTGGAAAAAAAGAAACAGAAAAAGAAAAAAGAAAACCCCAGCATAACCCGTAACCCGTCTAACCCAAATTATAATAGCGTGATTTATTAAGAGTTATGACTTAAGAGTGCCACATGTCAAAAGATTAGTGGAATCCGATTTATATTAAATATCGGCTGATCCGCTCAAAATTTAATCTCTTTTC